GTAGAGAGAAGCAAAACTCTGCATACAGATCCTTAATGTTTTAAATCCCCAAACTTAGGGGAAAAACAAAAACCACATAAAATTCAGACATTAAATCACCACAGAAAAAAAAAGGTCTGTCTTTTACTGAAAAGTTTGAACATTTACAGCAAAAATTAGGAACAGAAAATGGTCAATAGTTTTCTTAAAAGTCAATTTGGGAGGATTATCTATAAACAACCACTTTTTCTGTAATTTAAAACTTTGTTACTACTTCTCCAACAATCCACACGAAGATGCAATGATTTGCCCACAAATGCAAAACTAGTCTGTTCTACTGCAGTGGTATTCCATGAACTGTAAAGAAATTGAAGTTCCAATTTTGGAAGACTTTACATCAACACAGTCATTTCGTGCAAGTGAGAAAACATCTTGCTTCGGGCAGAGCCATAGGTAACAGATGGTGGCAATGAGAAAGCTTACTTTTATGCTAATCACTAATCTTAAAAAAAAAAACCAAAAAAACAAAAAAACAAAACCACAACAACTTTGAATAAATGCTGATACAAATTGGTATATGCAGAGAAGGAGAAAAAAAAGATAATTTCTGTTACATAAGAACTACAGAACACTGTGACCCTAACATTTAACTATCTTTCCAAAACACAAGAAAAGCATTTACATTTGAGAAAGCTCAGATACATTGCTTTGAAAACAGGATTTCTCTATTTTAAGCAAGCTCTCCAAATCCACCACACTCTTAACAGTCACAGATTTCAGAAAGCTAGTTCTTCTGACGTGTCTCTCTTCCTGTCTCAACAGCTTACTGCTCTCTCTCCCTTTCTCCTCACTACTCAAGCTGCAAAGGGTGACTGTAATTGTGGCTCCAAAGATAGGTATGCTAAATAGGACAGAAGACATGTTTCTAACAGACTATGCAGACTAGAGGATTTCCCAGAATACCTACAATTTTAATAGATGTATTTTTTAAAAAATAAGGATTTTTATAATACCTGAACAAATTTGTACATGCATTATAAAAATTACAGATTTCCCAATCATAAATATAGGAGCAAGAAAAAAATTAGTTGTTATAATTAAACTTGAACACAGTGATAATTTTACCCTCCTTTCAATTGACCTAAAGGAATATTCAAAATAGAACCCACAGTCCCTGGATGAGTATTAGGTGAACATTTAGTGCTAAGTTGTTTGCCCAGCTCCTCAGAGCACAGGCATCATGAGCATATTCCAATGTTGTTCACAGTACCTCTTCTCCCCTTTAACCAATGTGCTGTTCCATCAGTTTATGTAAGTGGGAAAGAAAAGGGATAAACTATACAAAAATTGTAAACTATGAAAGTTCACATACCCCAATAAAAGTGGACTATATACAGAAGAAAAATCTCACTATTTAAGTTTGGATCTGTAACATCCACTAGAAAAATTCTGCATAGAGGACCTAATCAAAATTCCCTGTCCTTAGCTGTATGAGGAGCATATTACTTCCACCTCTGTAAAACCTAGGTAACACGTAGGGGAAATTCCCCCAACAATGCCTTGGTGTTGCGTCATTTTAACAAAGTTAAGATGGGCAACAATAATGTCTACATATTTTCAATCTTTCTCATCGTTTCTCTCACCTCCCATGTTCTATTGCTACTCCAAAAATCATCTTCACTGTCTCATTCTGGTTGCGAAATCCATTCTTTCATTTCAGAAATGCATCTCCAGCTTCTGAGCAAACTGCAACAAATGAGATTTTTATCTATCTTCCAAGTGTTTCTCTTCACATCAAGATTAGCCTCATCTACCTTTTCCCATGATGATTTCCATGTATACCCTCTGCCAGTCATGCAAGTTGTCTGAGCTTTGCAGCCTACGCTGCGTCTGGTTAAGAGTTACTAACATTATTTTCTGTATAATTCCTGTCTCACCTAATTATTGCAATAAAAGTCGCCTATAATTTTCATCCCTATATTGCCACAGAGAAGCCACAGCACAAGTTTCGATACAATGGTGAGGGGAGAGACTAGTAAAAGGAAACATCTACTATTTTCTCTAGGTGTATCTACTTCCTTCTCTATCTACTAGAGACGACTAAGTCATTGTGTAAGCTTCTTGCTGCAATAAATGCAATCCTCCACTATTTGCCTGCATCCACTCACTTTGTGAAACGTAAATGACACTGCCCAGCAGTTAAAGAGATGACCTTCATACTCCTTCAGTTTCCCATGGCATTCTCATACAGACAATGTTCCTGGTCTGACACTAATACACACAATCAGAAGAAAGCCATTGCTAAAAATGAGATAGAAAGTCTAACAAGCTGCTACAACCACATTATGGTTTTAACTGAAAAAGCGTTCTTAACTACTGTTTACCCATCCTCTTCATGCAATCACGTTGTGCCTTCACCTTATAGACTTGCACTGCAAGACTAACCACTCTGCAGCAACAATTGTTTCCCATCCCAGACATTGCTAGTGTTTAGATTAATTCTTGAGCCCAGCTTTCAGCTGTTGTCCTTTCTTTTAATAAATTTTAGACATTTAAGATGAAACTCACACTAACTGCGCTGGCATCACAATTTCAGTCTCTTTCTTTGCTACTCTAACACCATACAGACAAGTGAGACTGATAAAAGCAAGATTTTTGGGTTTTATACATTCCTGAAGTGACAAGAAGAGGAGAAAGTAAGTCTGCACTAATCTAATTTACACAAAAAGAATAGACTCATTAGCGTTATTTCCTTATGACAACAAAACTCATAATGAAAAACAGGTAAGAAGTTGCTTTTTGGGAGGAGGAGGGCTGGACTAATAGTCTTTTTTAACAAAAAGTCTTCTTGATATCCAATGCAGCGCACTTACAACAATGATTATGTACTTTTATTTCTCTTTATGGTTTGCAATAAGATAATCCCAGTTGAAATACAAAGCACAGGATGTTCTAAATGTTGTAAAAGTCTTAGAATCTCACATACAAAATAAGGCTATCAATCAGCTATTTCCACACCCAAAACCCTCTTCTGAGGAGAATTGGTCAGCATAGGATTTTTCATATCAAAAATTAAAATTAGAAGTCTTTTATCTATCAGCAATTCCAAAGAAGCTGGAGTAAAATAATTCAGCTTGGTTTTGACAAACAAGCTTGTATACATCGCCATTCTTCATTCTCCAATAACTACAGAGGCAAGGCAAAGATATGTATGCAGCTGTACTTTGTCATTAATAATTTATTAATCCATGCTTGCTTTTTGTCATTGCTCATTAAGTTGCAAAGCAATATTGACACATCTTTTAATTCTACTCCAACTGTCAGGTTTTGAGTTGTACATACTGCAAGACATCAGAAGATGCAATGACAAGCACACTAGAACAAATCTGCTTTTTTCTAAATTGTTCTTGCACTTCACTTGCTGATCTTTTTTACATAGCTTTCCACAGCTACACATGAATCACTTGTCCTAAGTTTTTATTCAGTATCATGAAAAGAAGCTCGTAAAACTGAAGACCTATGTGGGTTCTAAGTTTTAACCATGGCTCAAGCCTGTGACAAGATTATAATGGCAACTATATATACAAAAAGCAATCATGCTCAGTTATATCCTTTATTCCTCGACTTGGTTGTTCAAGGACTTATTTTAATGCACAACACACACCAAAGAGCTTAATGTTTTGTACTTTGCCTAGGTTTACTTAGCATACTCCAATAAATAACACTTTCCAGATCTTCATGCACCACTAGAAATTATTCTTCCCACTTCCTGCATAGAATTTATTCCACTTGTGAACCGGGATACATTTTTGCTCCTTCCTGAAGGGCTCACCTGAAGTCTGATGATGATCACTAAGAAGCATTTGCTATCAACTTCAACAGACAATTATTATTTTTTTTCTACTCGGTGATGAATGCTCAAAAACCTCCCTAGGCAATTTATTTGTACTGCTTCATTACCCTTGTTAGTACATTTTCTTAACGTCCAACTGGAAGCTTCCTCATTCCAATTATTTTGTATTACATCCAGCATGTATGGAGAAACCATGCAAGTCAAATTCTTTCTGCATAAAGAAGTTAGGTGATTGTGTATGAAGGTCAGCCGAGCTTCTCTGACAATCAGAGGGACACAAGCACTCCCAAAACAGTTCCCTTATCTTCTTGCAACATTACCAATTTCAGTCAAATGACTTCCCCTCAGCTTCTCTTGCATGACTAAGGGAAACCCGCATAACATTCGTGACGCAGACACACAGAAGTCAGGTTTCCTAAATTCACCCAGAGGAATCCTCCCACTGGAAACTCAGACCATGCTTACCACTCCTGGGGAAGCATACAACAGAAGGCTGTACTAACCCTGAGCTTCTGCTACAACTCTGCTTTCCAATTCATGCCGCCTGAAACCCCCTGAGTGTATCTCCCAGCCTGTGTGCTGATTATTGACTGTTTGAAGCATCTAATAGCTTTGAAAACTGCATAAAATTTAGTTTACAAAGTTTTGGTATGGTAATTATCTGTTCCAATATAGCATCTGGGACAATATGTACCTTTACATTTCTCCACAACAACAGATTTTATTGGTGTGAGTTGTACACAGTGTTTACATTGCCCAGATGTTCAAAAGAACAAATCAGATCTCCATATGAGAACTTAAATTTTGGCTGTAAAATTTTGTTTCTTCCTTTTTATTAACCTGTCTGTGAGGTTCAAATTACTATTAATTTTTCCTAGATTATAGGGACAACCCAAAACTCCCGTCCATGGTTTCAAAGAATCCAGATGAGCTCCACAATTCCCTCTGGGGCCCTCAGGTGAAAAGGCTGTCTGGTATTTCTAAAGCACTCCTTAAACATAAGGGAAAACCATATAAGCCTTTTATTACTGCCCAAAACGACCTCCTTCGATAATGAACCAGGATAAGCCAATCAGACACGACTCAAAAAACTTCCACTATGGGCAGATTAAGCATGAAAACCAAATCCTTTGGGTCGTGACAGTTACTTGTTCTACCACTGTTACAGCTGCGTTCAAAATGAAAAGAAATAACTCAGAAATTCCTCCTTTTTGTTGTGCATACAAAAACAAACAAACAAACAAACAAAAATCACTCTGACAAACTCACCTAGAACAATTTCCTCTGGCATTCTGAAAAGTTTACATTATGCTGTATAAGGCACAACTGACTTAAAAATACGTAATAAAAAAAAATTAAGTGGTCTGATAGCAAAATCTGCTGCATTTTGCATTCATAGCAAAATTAATATATTCACTAACATATTCATTTACCTCAAAATCATCAGAACCTGACAAACATCAGCCCTGACCATTAGAGAGCAGATTCTTTGCTCACCAACATAATCACAGATTTCAAGAGTAACACCAATTTCTTAAAACATATGATTTTACCACATATTAGAAATAAAACAGGTTGTTTTCCAAATCTTTCCACTAAGTTTCTGAATCAAGTGCTAAAGCAAAAAACCTACCTGTTCACACAAAGGACTTTTACTCTTTAGAGTATATCGTCTCATTCTATCTAATTACACTAAACAGAACAGTATTTTACAACTTAGATCAGAAACAGGTTTGTAACTTGCATGCACTGAGCTCCTAAAACAAAGAAAAACCCCAAACAAACAGATCTGGCCACTAGATGGACTCGAGACAGGGATTTTATGCAACTTGGGCAGCTACCACTAGATGGTATCTACATATCACTAGTTGATTGCAATATGCAGGTAAACTCAGTGAAAAGTTCATTTTATTATACTTCAGTTGAATAAAAGGAAATTAAAAGTGCTAACTTCACTGTTTTATATTTAAAACAAAGGCAGCCTGCCGTCGCCCCCCCCAAGATCTTTCTCCCCACGCTGTACATAACAGTCATAGGAGGAGGTGGAGAGCACATCTGGAACAAGCCATTCTTCCCATGCTGCTCTCACAACAGCACAGTTCCTGACACTGTTCTCCTGCATTTTAACTGAGGGAACTTATTCTAGACTCTCTGAGATCTGCCACCTCTACTCGCAGTGTTTAAACACATCCCATCCTGAAAAAAACCTGAAGCTAGCCATACTGTAAATTTCATTTTAACTCCTGCTCTCTTAAATCTACATACATCAACTTTACGGACACTTTTATCTCCCTATTAAAGGGATAGAAATACACCACCTGTTATTTATGATCTAACCTTATTAAGTTAAGCTCATTTTTCATTTGGTTCTTCAATTTCCCTAAGAAAAACTACTGAAAATTACTATTACAGGTCTATAAATGCTATAAGTTTTTGTGAATTCCTCATACTATGAACACAAACAACAAATAAACTTTATCAATTTCCATATGTAACCAGTATCCATAACAGCCAACACAGATCCCAAATTAACACACACTTACATAAACATCTTGCAATGTGTTAGCACTCATTTTACGCATTTCATTCACAGGCGAGCAAAGTTGGCAGTAACACAGTCTCAGAATAATCAAGAAAAATTATGATCTACGGAGTATGTTTGTCAAATGTGTAAAAGTAGTGCTCTGTGCAGTCAATCTCAGCTAAACAGCTATTTGAAAAGAAAGTTGCCAGTTTATCCAAGTAAACATCTGTGTTCTTGAAGGTGCACAAAAGGTTCGGGGCACACAGTTTTGGCCAACTGCACGTGAGTGCCACTGGAGCCCTCCTGCAGCCTTTGATTCCAGTTCAGCTTCTGCATAGCAGGATTTTTACTACTACTGTGCTCTTAGCTGCAAGCTAACAAGTCTGTTTTCAGCTGTGATTTTAAGGACTTAAAACATACTAGAGCCAACAATCCACTTGACCTCCAAGTGCAGTGCTAACGAAGGCCTGAACCAGGATTTAAAACCAAGAACAAGTTCACATGATACAGAAGCTAAATAGGTTAAATACAAAAAAGGAAAAAAGGGAAAAAGAAAAATGAAGCCATACCCTCCTTTGCCCCCAAGAATGTATATCCTTTCTATGGTCCAAATACAGAAAGAGGTCAGACTACAAAACCCATTTCATTGCCCTGTATATGTATGTATATATTTGCTATGTGAGGTAGACACATATATTTTTATCCCAAGATGCAAACACCACATTGTCCTAGTACACTGTACACCAACATGGAAAAAAAGCTCTTGTGAAAGTTCTGTAACCTGCATCTGTAACAGTTAAATAAAGAGACTGTGAAAGACAATAAAGAAAAAAGAACTAAGATGAGATCTAGGTTGAAAGACATAAAGGAGATTTCGGTGAATAATCAAGCAGCTTTCATACTTATAAATGCTAAAAAGAACAGCTACATCCCTGACACCAAGCTTCCATCCAGGTTGCCAAACACGTGTATTTCAGACAGGGAAAATATCCTCAGAAATTAGAAAGAAATATGCAATTGGCAAAACAGAAGCAGCTTTGTTCTGGAAGTAACTTATAGTGGCTAAACCCAATTTTGCTCAATGCAGTACATAATTAACAAGATAGGACATGCACAGTGCGCACACACAGTACCTGAAAAAGTGCTATAGTAGTGCTGGTTGTTACCTGAAGACGGTACATTTTTTTGATATGCTAGTGGTTAGTTCAACCTGAAAGTAAGTGTGGTTGGATTTGTTCCAAAAATCCACCCACAGCTCTTTAATTCACTATGCTAACATCAGCAACTTTTGGCACATCATCTCTCCCTCAATTTTTTCTACTTAAAAATCGATTGCCAGATTTCTATGACCCAGCTTTGAATTCAAGTAGGTAGTCCAGCTAGGAGATGACAGAATTTCCCAATTCACAGGTAACAGTGAAGCCTTGCTATACCTCAAAACATTTACTATGATTTTGCTTTGTCTCGTTATCCGTGACAGATGCCACAGAAAAAAGTGCAATGTATTTGCTATATCTGGAACAGGAATTGTTTATATCTGTGTACAAGTAAAAAAATCCATTCATTACAGTACATTAATGCAGTTTATCACAGCTATCTTTTATATTCCATAGAAAAAAGGTACAATTAAGATATACCTCAGTAGGTCTGGGATATAAGATAACTTACTGAAAAATGCCAACATGAAGATGCCATCATTGCCCACTCTAAGCTGATCTGCATCACTGAAATCATCCCGTGGTGGATACTCTTCTTCCTGGATTTACAGGTTAGTGATAATTTAGTGAAAAGTTTATTTTATAATAACTATCTGTAGGATTAAAGTATTAATTATGTTTCTAAAGCTAGAAGAAAATTGACATTTCTGTAACACATCCACATCAAGGAAATTTAAAAGAAAAATAATTCATATCTATAAAACAAGTCTTATTTGTTGCTTATATTGACAGAGTCCAAATTTAACTGAAAGTTTCTGTAGAAGATCTGTACGTATGGCCTATTCACCTTAAATGAAGCTAGAAATTATTTCAGATAAGTATTTTGACAATCAAAACCAACAGAAGTCTCTTGTCTTACTGTAACTATCTTGATATACAGCCAAGCTATTAAGTATTTTCTGGAAAAATCATTACATAGTATGTTCTATTTTTTTCCCTGCTAGAATAGTCTTTTAATGCTTCCCAAAATATAGAATGAAGTTTTAGAATAAGGTTAGTATCTTAAAATAAATTATTGATGCAACAGCACTGCACTAACCAATCTTACTATCCTATAAGCTACAGAAAAAACATATGTAAAGCAAATAAAACCTCTAGGGACACTAGAGGGCGCGAGCACATTAAAAATGTTTAAAAGTCTTCTAAACTCAAAAAAGCATAGTACTTTTAAGTCAAACACAAGTAAACAGAGGCGTCACTCAAAACAATCCAAAGATTTCTCCCATCGTGTCAAAATACTACAGATCTTAAGATACTGAAAGTATGTTTGTTTTGTTTATCAGTACTTGATTTTCAACAGAACTAGGCAGATCTTAGGTATGCAGTTCTGTGCGCAAGTAAAACATTGCTGCAACTGTAGACTGGGAAACAAAAGTTTTCATGATGACAGCAGTTACTAAAGAGAGCCTGATGAAAACTGTCAAACCAGTTAAACACATCAATTTTATACCTAAATGACTGACATCAAAACAATGCAGGATGATACAAGTTAAATAATGCTGTCAGTAGCAGCAGTAATATGGTCTGGACATAAGCAAGAGTAACATTCTTTTCCTTTTTCTCCAATTAATCATAATGTATTAGAATTGAAATAAGAAATGACCTATAAAAAATGAGTTCAAGTGGCATTTACTTAGCTGTTTCACCCACAGCAAACACTTACTACTGAAATAATGTACCTCTGATTTTAACGTACTACTCAGTCGCTGTACCAAACGTTATTTTGTATAGTAAGTTCATAACTAAAAGGGCATTAAACAATCTCAGTGATCTACAGCTCTGTCATGTGATTGACATGTTCACCATTGTCAACACAGCAAAATAATTTACCAGGGTATAGCGATCATGGTTAAAAATGTGCTAGAATGAACTGTACCAACTCAAGGCAGCCAGCATTACTCTTGGTAACACTGCCATGAAATTCCAGCTGCACTATTTCATTTCAGGTTAATTAACCAGGACTCTGTATTACTTTATAAACACTGCTATTCACATTGACAATACTAAGAAAAGCACAAAAAGCTAGCTGAACAACAATCTTAAGGGGCTATAATTCAACTCTACATTATTTCAGATGTCCCTAAATGGTCATCTTAAGTGACTATGAAAATATTAGTTTATTCAGCCCAGCTTTGCTGCAGCTACAAGTCTGATGGGGCAGGGAGAAGGCAAGGTAGGGTTGGAAATGCATTTAACAAAGAGCTACATTTGAATGTGCTTATCTCTGAAAAGTGTGCCATGAGAGCTCCTTTTTCAAGTCAGGACAACAAAAAATATTTTCAATTTCAATTTCAAAAGGTATATAAAAGCCAATGTAAAATAATTTTAGGATTTTTTTTTAAACTGTCTGCTAACTACCGTACTTCATACTAGCATTTCCAAACCAATTGGTGAATTACACTCTATGTAAAATATTGCTTCAGAAAAAGAAAATTTTGCTCAAGTAAAATAATAAGTTTAATAGGTTTCTCTAAGGCTTACACATGTGAGAAACACAGGTCAATATATAACCCATGGACATGAGAGCAGACATTTGCAAGTAGACATTGTTGCAATACGGGTGAACAAGTTCTAATTCATCACACTGCAAGTCAAAAGGGAATTATATTAAACTAAGTTCTACTTCCTGTCTCCAAAAATTGGCATATGAAAATTATCAGGTTGTTTAAGAAATGAAATAGCTTTCTGTGCTAAAATCACGTTCAGCATGTAACTACATCATTTAGTATTGTGTGGGTTTATGATCAGTCCTGCGGACGGAAGACACTAATTGGCCACTGCTCAAGTCCCACTAATATTGTCTGTCTTTCACAGTGCTCTCATTTGATCTAGTCAATGTCAATTGTCCCAGTCTGTCTTCAAAATATAATTGTTTGCCACCACTCATTCAGGAATGAAAACGGACAACAAAGAATGACTGCCCTCTCTGCTGATGCTTAGAACTACATGTAATTTCATAGTAGTACTTCCATTAAATATTGATATTTTTATCAATGAGAATACTTTTTTTTTTAATGAGAAGAATGTCATATAACAACACACACAGATCTATAAAATATACAATACACTTCCAGTATCTCATAGTGATTTTTGACAAATTTAGCCACGTTAAGGATCATGGACAATATTTCTTGTTTGCTAAATATGCTGAGATCTGTATAAACAGAAAACTTACTGTTCCTATGACCAGAGAAACAGCTAAAGAACAAAATATATTATCAACATAAATGGCATGTCACACAGAGTAATTTCTCTAAGCGAAAGAACACCAAAAGGTACACAGCATCTATTGAAGTCAAATCTATTAACTCCTCTGAAACTGTAGTATTCTGCAAAGAGAGGACTGTTTTTTCCTCCCAGTGCTTTTTAGCTTCTTTCAAATTAAACCTAGCATGGTGTATAGGAAGACAACCACCTTTAATCAAGTAAATAACCAGAGTTTTCAGGAACCCCATGGATAACTAAACTGATGTAACTGTTCTCAATGCACTGGGTTTACCGAGAAAAACTTCTGAGGAAAGGGTCAAATTACTTAATGAACCCCATAAATGACACCTTCAGCATATAAAACAATATGGAGAAGATAATGGTGGGGGAGAAAATGCACAACGAATCCCAGAAGCATTTGTTTGTCAAAAACAGGAAAATTCATAGTTAAAGTCTAAACTAGAGAGAACTATACCATACCTCTGGACGACTGAGGAATATTTCATCAAACAGACTCCTAGACTCCCTAAACTGGGCGTGCTAAGCATGTAAAAACAGAAAAATGTAAGACAAATGCAACTGAAAAGCATTAAGTAAAAGCCATTCATTGCAACATACAAACAAGTCATTTAACTGTTAGCAATATTTTTGTCCATTTAAACAAAACTGACCTCAAGAATTTGAAAAGGAAAACATCAAAAGCCAGGGTAACTAATGCTATCACTAATGATGACATAGGGCTGCTACAATTTCTTTGATACATTGAGCCATCTGGGAGCATTTGAAAGAAATATATGTTTATGCACAACGTATTCTTTTAAAACAAACTACGCAAAGGACTACAAAAGCAAGTACTAAAAGCTTCACTAAATGTTAAGTTCAGATTGTTCGTACAATCTGTGGATGCAGGGTCTATGATGAGGTCTTTAAAATGATGACACTAATGTTTTTTGTAAGATCCCTACA